TTGCTTGGTGATGAATGGTGTTTCTTTTACTTTTTTCTTGTTTATTTTTATATATTATAATTTCCTTATAAAAATGGAACAATTCTGTGATATGTAGAATGTAAATTGACATGCTTTCTCTCATACTAGACTTTACCTGTGTGTGTTGTGTCTGAATTAATCTGGTGGGAAGTTGAGTTGGTTTTGGGATTCATTACTGATATCATTATTTCAGTGCTGCATGGGCTGCATATTCATCCAGCATTATTTTGTTTTAAGTGTTGGACTGGCTCACCAGTTTGTCTCAATATCTGCTCCACACTCTAGTTCTCCCTACAAACTCTTCTCAGGCCCTCAGACAAACTGCTTTTACATGTTACTCATCACTTGCTAGTCTCATTGTGCAATGGCAACATGAAGGATGTAGGAACATTCCTTGTGTTTCTGATGATGAAACCGAGAACTTAGGCACATTCCATGTCCCTGAGTCTTGGGAGGGGCTTTGTCAGTGATTATGTCCACCTCCACCTGTAGGTCTAGACTCACCACATATTTGTATCTACTTTAAAATTTCTCTCTGCTTTTTAAATGTCTTTATTTCCCCTTCCCCAAAGGCAATAATATATTTGGCTCTTTGTGGCTTAAAGTATTTTTAAACAGGAGAGATAATTATCCTCCTGGTGAAACAAAATATGTCCCCCTCAATTGCAATTTTTCCTATATTTTATTCCCAGTTATTACTGACCTGTATAATTATTTTCTCATGAAGTTATTTACTATTTTAAGTTTGGAGCTTGGGATACACCTCAGTTGATAGAGTATTTATCTTGCATTCACCAGGCCCTGGGTTCAATCCCCAGCACCCCCCCAAAAATATTTTAAGTTTTAATGTTACACCATAGAGTCTGAAATTTATTTAAGTAAGTTGCCATTGGTATTGTGTGTGTGTGTGTGTGTGTGTGGTAAAAGGATCTAAAATGTATTTTCTTGGTAAATATGTAATATATCATTCCTTAGATATATACAGTGGAAAAACTGTTTGAATATTTTTTTCAGCCTATGCTTTTGAAATTCGTTCATTCACATTGTTGCAATGAGAGTTTGTCCATTTTGATTGCTTCATATAATTGCTTTGCATGAGTGTACAACAATTTATCTATTCAACTGTTGGTAAGTGTCTTTGACTCCAAATTTTAGGGTATTATGAGAAATGATGAAAGGAACAACATTGCCTATAAATTTTACCTAATAAGTATATGTAGAAACTGCTGATAATATATGCTTATCCCTACTGGAAAACCTAGGCCTTAGAAAATGCTTTCAGTAAGTAAGCCAAAATTTATTTTTTCAATTAATACTTTCTCTAGCCTTGTGTAAACATTATTTATTCTACATATTATTCATCTTTAAATTTTTATTTATTCTTGACAAGGTCTAGTGATTCAATTTA